GATGGCGGTAGAGAAGCAACTGGCGGCGGAGGGGCTGACGCGGGAGGGGCTGGGTCGTGCCGAGTTTGAGCGGCGCGTCTGGGCCTGGAAGGCGGCCTGTGGCGGCGACATCACGCGCCAGCTTCGGCGCCTGGGCGCGTCCTGTGACTGGGGCCGCGAGCGTTTCACCCTGGACGAGGGCCTGAGCGAGGCGGTGGTGGAGGCCTTTGCCCGGCTGCACGAGCGCGGCCTGGTCTACCGCGGCGCCTACATGGTCAATTGGTCACCGGGCCTTCGCACCGCCGTCAGCGACCTGGAGGTGGAGTACGCCGAGGAGGCAGGGACGCTGTACTACTTCAAGTACCCTTTGGCAGGTGGGCGAGGTTTTTGAAGGGGGAGGGTGTAGCAAGGGGGAATTGGGGGGGGGGAGGTGGGATGAATAACTGGAGAGATGCAGGAAAGTAGGGCGCGCTGTCGTGATCCAACCCACCCCCCCATCTCACTCTCAAAAACGCACCGACCAATCCCCAGGCGGTGCAGAGGGCGAGTACCTGCCCATCGCCACCACCCGTCCCGAGACCATCCTGGGGGACACTGCTGTGGCGGTGCATCCCAAGGACGAGCGGTACCGCCACCTCATCGGCAGGCAGGCCCAGGTGCCGCTCACTGACCGCCGCATCCCCATCATCGCCGACGAGTATGTCGACCCGGAGTTTGGCACCGGGGCCCTGAAGATCACGCCAGGTTGGAGGAGATTGGTGGGGGGGGGGTTGTGGGGGCAAGCCATGACGCGGCCTGGGACATGGAATGTCTCATTCACTCCTCCGCACACGCCTCATCCAGGGCATGACGTGAACGATTATGAGATTGGCAAGCGCCACAAGCTGGCCATCATCAACATCATGGACGACGATGGGCGCCTGAACGCCGCCGCAGGCGCGTTTGCCGGCGTGGACCGCTTTGAGGCCCGCACCCAAGTCTGGCAGGGGCTGGAGGTGCGCACTCGTGTGGGATAGCAAACCGGGGGGCCCTTGTGGGTAGGATTGTGTGAACTATAGGCTGCCCGACTGACCCTGTCAAGGGTCTGGAAAGGCCACTGCGTGTCCCTGCGCACCCAACACCCCCATAGACTGATTGCAGGAACCACCTCACTTGCGACCAACTGCATCCTGCGAGAATGTTTCCACCCCCATACTCCCGTCGCCAGGCTGCCGGGCTGGCGCTGAGGACGGAGGCGCACACCTCCCGGGTCCCCCGCGCCCAGCGAGGCGGCGAGGTCGTGGAGCCGCTGGTCCGGGAGCAGTGGTTTATCAAGATGGAGGGCCTCGCTGGACCTGCTCTAAAGGTGATCCTGTGTGGAGAGGGGGATGGGCATTCCTGGAGGGTCCTCGCTCTGCGGCATTGGGCTCTGCAATCAGGCACCCAGCCCAGGCAGCGACCATGCCCAACCCCACCTCCCCCCACAGGCCCTGGACGAGGGGAAGCTGAGCATCGTGCCGGAGCGCTTTGAGAGAGTGTACCGGCACTGGCTGTCCAATATCAAGGACTGGTGCATCTCCAGGCAGCTGTGGTGGGGCCACCGCCTCCCCGTCTGGTGAGTGCAGGGGCCTGCAGGAGTTGGTGGGGTGGCGCAAGGCAGTGGGCAGTGTGGGGGCTGACAGACCCAACCTCCCGTCCAACCTTTCTGGACCTTTGGACCCCGAGCGCATGCAGCAAGGCAGTGCACATGCGTACCCAGATGCAGCTTGTGAATGTTCTGGGACATGCCGGGTCTCCTTGTGTCGCCCACATCAGTTGGGAGGGCTGACAAGTCCTTCACCTGCCCACCAAACAATCCTCACACCCTCACCATCCGCTTGGCATCCACACACACACACACACACCCTCCTAAACTCCAGGTACGTGTATGAGAGCGAGGAGGCGGCGGCGGAGGGCCCCCTGCCAGGTCAGCGCTACGTCGTGGCGCGCTGCCCGGACGTGGCTGCCCTGCTGGCGGAGGAGGAGTATGGAAAGAGCGCCGTGCTGCGCCAGGAGGGCGACGTGCTGGACACCTGGTTCTCCTCGGGCCTGTGGCCCTTCTCCACCCTGGGCTGGCCGCACCGAGACGCGGCCGACCTCAAGCGGTGAGTTGGGGGTTGAGGGAGTGGGGGTGTGGGGTGTGGAAGTCTGGGTGCCAAAGATCAGGGGCCCTGCCCCCTGCTTCAAGCCCCAGAGAGGGCGCCATCTTCCTGAAACCTCCAGGCTTTCGACAAAGCGGTCCATTGTATAACTGACGGAAAGGGCGGCTGCTTGGTGAAGGCCGTGCATCAGCTACGAGGAAAGCGCTCCTCCCCATCACATGCATCTGAGAAACGGCGCTTCTCCACCCTGGCTGCCCCCCATCCCCTCCCCCCCAGCTTCTACCCGACTTCCGTGCTGGAGACGGGGCACGACATCCTCTTCTTCTGGGTGGCGCGCATGGTGATGATGGGGCTGGAGCTGACGGGCAAGGTCCCCTTCCACACCATCTACCTGCACGGACTGGTGAGGGTGGGGTGAAGGTGATGGATTCGGCTAAACATGCACTCTTCCTCGGGGAGATATGTCTGTGCACAGCATGATTATTGTGTGCCTCTCTTGCTGGGTACATCGGTTCTGCTGTGATCTCACCCTTCTGAATGCCCACCTCCCCCTCTCACACACTCCCTTTTATGCTCACATCATGCACTCGCACTCTTCCCCCTTTGCTCTCTAGGTGCGTGACGAGGTCGGGCGCAAGATGAGCAAGTCGCTCGGCAACGTGGTGGACCCAGTGGAGACCTGCGAGAAGTACGGGGCCGACGCGCTGCGCTTCACGCTTTGCACCGGCACGGCCCCTGGCCAGGACGTCAATCTGTCCTTGGACCGGGTCAACCACGCCCGAAACTTCACCAACAAGCTGTGGAACGCGGGCAAGTTTGTGCTGCACAACATCTCCCAGGTGTGTGTGTGTGTGAGTGTGTGTGCGTGTTGTCTGAGGGAGAGGGAGGGGGGGCAGGATGGGGTGCGCAGGCCTGCTCTGTTGCGGTTGATGCTCTTTCTGGCGAGGAACCTATGTGCTCTGTGCTCCCCCGTAGAGTTGCCCTGCCCTCCACAATCCACCTTTTCCCTATTCTCCCTGTGGACCAATTACCAGGTGTCGGACAAGGAGTGGGCCGCGCTCGCTGAGGTGAACTTTGCCGACCCAGCCTCCCGCGCGGAGCTGGGCCTGGCGGAGCGCTGGGTGCTGCTGGCCCTGGACGACACCGCCGCTGCCATGACGGCCGCCCTGGAGAGGTCAGTCTGGGGTTGTGACGACTGTGTACTGGTGTGTGGGCTCTGAATCGAGCTGCACATCGAGCGTTTGTGTGCTGAGTTCTTTCTTCCCCAAACGCCAGGTATGACTTTGGAGAGGCGGGCCGGCTCCTGTACGAGTTTGTGTGGAGCGAGTTTGCCGACTGGTATGTCGAGATCGCCAAGACGAGGCTGTACAGCTCCGATGCCAGCCTGGCTGCCAAGGTGGGATGGGTACGGGGGTGGGAAGCAGGCAAGGAGCGTGTGAAGGAGGCTGGGCGAGGAAGGTGGCTGCTGCCGTGCTTGGCATCGCATGCAGGGCATGCTCATATCCTCTGCACATCTCTCACCCCCCTTCATGCTCGCCCCACCACGCTCAGACTCGGGAGGTGCTGGTGTACGCCTACACCTCCTTGCTCAGCCTGGCGCACCCCTTCACCCCCTTCATCACCGAGGAGCTCTGGTCCGCCTTCCCACCCGCAATCCACTCGCCCGCGCTGATCGTGGGCCGGTGGCCCGAGACCTCCGGCTACGACCGCGACGATCTCGCCGCAGCGCAGTTTGCCGCTCTCCAGGCCGCGGTACGAGCGGTACGGAACTCTCGCGCGGAGTATGGCGTGGAGCCCGGCCGGCGAATCCCCGCCACCGTGCGCGCCGGGGACCCGGCGCTGCGCGCCGCCCTGCAGCAGGAAAGTGCGGCCATCGCCCTGCTGGCCCGGCTAGACCCCGGCCAGGTGCGCGTGAGGGGTGCGAGATGGGGTGCTGCTGGGTTTGAGTGTGTTGCATGAAGCTGGCTTGTGTCGGCCTCAAGGGCCAGGCCCGGCATGCTTGCAGGTTCAGTGAGCGGTCTTGACTGGGCGTCCAGGGTTGAGTGGTGGTTGCGTGGGTGCTGAGCACCATCCTGGCACGGAATGAGGGCGACACGAGGTGCGCATCCTCCCCTGCCTGCCGCCTTCCCCCGAGTACCCATCACCGACCAGCCACCTCAACCCCGCTGCAGCTGGAGTTCCGCGATTTTGAGGGGCCCTGCAACTCCTCAGACCACGTCCAGCTGGTGGTGTCGGATGGCGTCGAGGTGGACCTCCCCATGGCAGGTCAGGATATTGAGCGGGGAATGTAGGAAGGGGGCCGAATGTATGAGAGTCCAGTGTCGCCACAAAGAATCGCGCAGGGCTTGGCTTCCGCTGAAACTTGGGCAATCTGTCCTGCGATCACAAGAGGCCGTGGGATCCCTTCTCCACCCCCCGCCTCCTCCTGCCCAATAAATAAGGCCTGTTTGACGTGGACAAGGAGCTGGCCCGACTGCGGAAGCAGCAGGAGCGACTGGAGAAGGAAAGGGCGGCCCTGGAGGCACGACTGGCCCGCCCCGGCTTCGCCGACAAGGCCCCCACGGCCGTGGTGGCGGAGGTGCGCGGTGCGCTGGCGGAAGCCGGCCAGCAGCTGGCGGCCGTGCAGGCCAAGATCCAGGCCCTGGAATTGCAGCGGGGCTGACGCGCGGTGAATGGGGGGTTGACGGTGTTGTTCAGTGGCGCTGCCGGTGTTGCAGCGACATTTTGTTGCACCCCCGACTGTAAATTTAAGAGAGCAAGCTACTGTCCTTTCTTCCCCGGCGGCGTATACAGTGCAGCGGGGGTGCATGAAAGAGGCCTGGCAGAAACAAAGCAAAGATGCAGGGCATGGGGGGGGTGGGGGGTGGTAGTAACGGGTGTGCAGATTCAAGGAGGAGTGCTGGTTGTGAGGGTTTCCCACCTCGGCAGTGGCTGTGGCACTGGGGGCTAGGTTGCATGGAGCGACGTCCCCCCCCCCGCCCCACGCGCTTGACCCATCCCAACTCCTGGCGGGGACAGGGCCGTCCACACCCTTGCACCGCTCACCACCCCTGAGGCCCCATCCTCCGCTTCCACCCCTCCCCTCGCCCTCTCCCGGTCCCTCAGAGGTCCAGGTGCTGGATGACCTGCTGCACGTCTTTGTCTCCACGGCCGCTGCAGTTGACAACGACGCGCGTGCCGTGGGCCAGCGTGGGGCACAGCGTGTCCAGGTAGGCCAGCGCGTGGCTGGACTCCAGGGCGGGGATGATGCCCTCCAGGCGCGACAGGAGCTGGAAGGCCTCCAGCGCCTGCGCGTCGGTCACCGACCCGTACTCGGCGCGGCCCGCGTCGCGCAGGTAGGCGTGCTCGGGGCCCACGCCTGGGTAGTCCAGCCCCGCGGAGATGGAGTGGGGGTCCACGATCTGGCCATCCGGGTCTTGGATGACGTAGGACATGGAGCCGTGCAGCACGCCCACGCGCCCCAGCGTCAGCGTCGCCGCGTGCTTGTCGGTGGCCAGCCCGTGCCCGGCGGCCTCCACGCCGACGAGGCGCACGGATGCGTCGCCCACGAACTCGTGGAAGAGGCCCATGGCGTTGCTGCCGCCGCCGACGCAGGCCAGCAGCACGTCCGGCAGCCCGCCCCAGGCCTCAGCGGCCTGCCCGCGCAGCTCGCGGCCGATGACCGCCTGGAAGTCGCGCACGATCTGGGGGAAGGGGTGGGGCCCCGCCACCGAGCCCAGGATGTAGTGCGACCCCTCCACGTTGGTCACCCAGTCGCGCAGGGCCTCGCTGGTCGCGTCCTTGAGCGTGCACGTGCCAGAGGCCACGGGCCGCACCTCCGCGCCCAGCAGGCGCATGCGGAACACGTTCAGCGACTGGCGCTCCATGTCCTTGGTGCCCATGTAGACCACGCACTGCAGCCCCGCGCGGGCGCAGACCGTGGCCGTCGCCACGCCGTGCTGGCCAGCGCCCGTCTCCGCGATCACGCGCTTCTTGCCCATGCGCTGGCACAGCAGCGCCTGGCCCAGCGAGTTGTTGATCTTGTGCGCGCCCGTGTGGTTCAGGTCCTCCCGCTTCAGCCAGATCTCGGGGCCGGAGCCGTCGGGGCGGCGGTAGTGCTCCGACAGCCGCTCCGCGTGGTAAAGGGGAGAGGGGCGGCCCACATACGTCTTCAGAAGGTGGTCCAGCTCGGCCTACGAGGGAGGGGGAGGGGCGGCTTTGGTTTTAGAAGCTATCAGGAATCGCGATGGGGTGTGATGGACTAAAGGCGGGGGGAGGAATGGCTTCCACGCTCAGGGCACGAGCAAGTCCCCTGAGCACCAAGACCCATGAAGCTCGCTATGCATGGGCCTGTGAACCCGGCCGGCCAGGCATGGTGCGCCATGGGCATGCACAACAACAAGTTCCCGTTGTGTTTCGCTCACAATGAAGGTCGGGTCGGCGAGGGCCTCCTTGTACGCCTGCTCCAGCTCCGTCAGGGCGACGATGAGCGTCTCCGGCACGTACTTGCCTCCAAACTTGCCATACCTCCCCGAGGCGTCGGGGCGGAGGGGGGTGTCGTGGATGCCCACCTCCTCCGGCTTGTGCTCAACGGCGGGCGTGGCCATGGCCGCACGGCACGGCGCGGGCCGGGCCGGGCGAGCAGGGACCACACTGCCGAAGGCCTGCCTGCGACCCGCGTGTGGGACAGCAGGGGCGGGCAGGGCACGCAGGGCGAACGACATTGCGGGAATGTCGTGGGAGGGTATTGCGACGGCGTGCAGGAGCGCGGGGATATGTGGGTGCGATCGGGCCAAGCCCCCCCCCCCCCTTTGCGTGAGGGGGCGACCATGTCACGTGCTGGGGATGATTGGGTGGCACAGGAGTGCCTGTGCTCCTTCCACTCTATTTCACTGGCTGAATAAGGCTTGGAATGTACAGCAGGGCGGACTGCACATCAGTGCGTGAGGTATTGGAGCCGCGCAGGGAACAGCTATGGAACCCCTGCATCACATGCCAAACCCCGCCGAGCTTCAGGACAGGTACACCTTGACCGGCGACCCACCCGTCCGGCACAGCGGGCAGCGCCGCAGTCCCAGCCCCGCACCCCTCGCACACACACAGGTGCCCGCAGGCGGGGAAGACCATGGCGCAGTCCGCGTCCAGGCACACCGCGCATGGCGAGGGGGAGAGGGTCGTGGTGCTCGGACCCGGTGCGTCGCCGGCACCGGCGGCGGTGGCGGCGGCCGCCGCCCGCGCGCGGCGCGCGGCCTCCACCCGCCGCCGCACCGCCGCCCTCCGGCGCCAGGCGGCCA